AGCCACTGAGGGAGGTGCACTCACATTTCTTCTGCAGAATGCTCTGTCTGGCCTTGATGAATGCCAGGATGTTGGAGTCCGTCTGGCTGTCACCGGTGAGGGGGACGGAGGACATCGGCCTCTCGGGGATGCTGGCGAGGACCACATGTCACACGTTACTACACCTTGTGATTGGACTCAGCACTTACCTTTCCAAATGCTTTTCCGTTTTTGCTGACTGACTTCACCCAGGAAGCTGTGTGACACGGCTGGCCTCTCTGTCACTCCCTGCCGCCTCTGTGCATTGGCCACACCAAGCCTTTTATCCTGCAAACCGGGTCATGTCACCCCCTGCCTTACACCCTTTAGTGGCTTCTCATTACTCTTGGAACAAAATTCCTACTCCGCCCATGACCTGCCAGGTCCTGTGTGACGTGACCCCCGGTTCAGTAGGCTGCAGCCACCCTGACCTTCTTTCTGTTACTTGAATATACCAAGCTCCTTCCAGCCTCAGGGCCTGTGCTTTAGCCGTTCCCTCTCCCTGGACTGCTCTCCCCCAAGACCTTCACGTAGCTGAATGTGCTTGAGGTCACCGCTGTCCCCATCCCTTCATCATCACCCCTCCTGTCCTCCATCCTTGCCTCACCCAAACCAACCGCACTTTACTTCAAGATGTCACAGCAAGTTGGTGGCAGAGCTGTGCTGTCTCAGGCCTCAGAGAAGACCTGCCACTGGTGCTGATGCTGCTGGTCCTGGCCTGTCTCCTTCTGCACCCACTTAGATGTCCTATACTTTAGGACTGTGGTCCCACCCCTTGGGCCTGTTAGGGACAGAGCCACAGACCTCTGTGGTTCCTCCCCACTTCTGTGGAAAAATTGTCTTCCATGAAACTTAGGAACGGGGGTGGGGTAGGGGTGGGGTGGTGCTGGACAGTAGGAGGTGGGCAAGTGAAGCTTCCTCTGTATTTATACAGCCACTCCCCATCGCTCGCATCACTGCCTGACCTCTGTCTCCTCCTCTCCCACCCGCTCCCCATCCGTGGAAAAATCATCTTCCATGAAATCGGTCCCTGGTGCCAAAAAGGTTGGGGACCGCTGCTTTAGGACATCTCCCCAGTGCATCCCATTCCCCACCATGGTTCAGCTAGTTGCTCTCAAGGCAGAGATTACTATTCTCCTGTCTCCTTAAAAACAGAACCATATTTAGCTAAATTGCCACAACTAAAAACCTATGAATACCTTTCCCAGCCTCCCTTGCAGCTGCGTGTGGCCAGGTGCCCAGGTTCTGGCCGAGAGGTTTGTAAGCAGAAGTGTCGTGTGGGAGTCCAGGAAATCCCTTTAGAAAGGGAGCATTATGTGCCCTTCTCCTTCCTCTTTTTCCATCAGCTTCTACGTGGAGCATTGCCCTCAGGACCACGCAGAGCAACACACGTGCCTGGCTTTGCCAATCGTCCACCCTACACCTATCACTCCACACTGTGGGAGACAGTATCTGCTTCTTTAGAAGGCAGCAAGGACTGTATATAACAAAGGGTTGTCCATTGTCACAAGTAATTTTGGGTGTCAACATTCCAGCTGCAGCTCAGCCAGAAGCACTAAAGCAGATCTGTGGCAGGGAGGGCAGGGGCTGCTGGCTCCCGTCAGTTGCCTGGGCCTTGGGGAATTCAGCCCTGGGCAGCTCCCGGAGGAGAGTACTTGGCCCGGTGAAGGCTGAGGTGGCATCTTAGACACAGGGCACAGATAGCACCAAGTGGGAAGAGGCCTTACCCACTTTGCTCTGCCCCAAAGCAAGTGCTCCCAGGCTTGAGGCCAGGCTTGTCAGCTCTTTGTCTTGCTGTGGGGCTAGTGGGCTATGCTAGAACTACCCCTGGACTGACGCCTTCCTTTTATGGCTCCCAGAACCATCTATTAATAAGGAGTTGTGTGTTGCACGGGGCCCCAGTGACCCTGGGAGAAGATTCCCCAGCTTTGAGAGTAGGCATGTATGACATATTGCGGAGGATTCCCAGGGGACCAGGGCAACGGCCAGCCTTGGGCTCTGTCTGTGCAGCTACTGGACAAGGGGCTTCTTGGGGGGAGCAGACTGGTGACTCTGGCCTACTCTGCCCACTGCAGAGGCTGTCACAGGCATCAGGGGGAGGAGAAGACCACAGACCTGTTTCCCAGGGGGGTGCTGGTGCGACTCTGTTCCTGGCTGCGTGGGCTGGGGCCAGGTGAGGGCAGGATCTTCCTGGTATATACATCACTGCAAAACACAAACCAACAAAAGCAAAAGGGATTGAGTAAGTTTATAGAAGAGAAACTGAAGGCTTATATTTAGGGGCTGTTATGGACTGAATGTGTCCTCCCAAAATGCACTTTATAGATGAGAAAACTGAGGCTTAGAGAGGTTAAAGAAATTCTGAAAGTACCCAGCTGGTAAGTGGCAGAATCCAGAGCTAGTCGCGACTCTGTGAGGCTTCAGGACCTGTGCTGTCAGCCACAGTGCTTCATTAACTGGGTTCATCTCTGCAGCGTGCTGGGAAGCACACACTGCTTACCCCTGATCACGCTCACTGCCCCCGGGTGGCCTAGCTGACCAGCTCCGTGCTCCCCGAGTCGGGCGTCAGCTCCAACAGCTCACCACGTGCAGCTGCGCCCATTGCCTGGGCTGCCTGGTGCATGCATCTTGTCTTGGATTCCTGGTTGCATGCAGTGGAGCCTAGCAGCTCCTCCTGGGAGGTTAAGGGGTTTTTTGACCCCGGTTGGCGGTTGGCCGTTTTTTTCCCGTTGCTTTTGTGATGGCGTCCCTACTCTAAGTCACGTTGTAAGGACTCAGTGGCGGATCCTTGTCCTTGCTTTGGGGTGGTCCTGCCTGGAGACAACGTCAGAGCTGGAAGAGGCCTGAGAAGTCACCTGGTTAGAACCCTCCTTTTACAGTCGGGAACACTCGGCTGAGAGGCAGGCTGGGGTTAGAGACAGGTGAGCTGGCTTTGCCCAGTCTGCGTCCTCAGTCCGCGGTACCCCACAGGCCTGACAAACTGCTTGTCCCACCCCCGAGGACGGCCCCTTCCCCAGCTCCAGCTTTCTGCCCTCTCCCATCTCAGTGGCCCTCCCAGTGGCAGGGCCTCTTCCCCTGGGCCTGCCTCCACAGGTCATGACTGGGGGTCAAACAAAAGGAAAGGAAATGAGAGCCTGGGACTTCCCACCCCATGCGCATTTCGCAGGAGTCCAGAGACTTCCGGAGCCCTCCCTCGGGAGAGTGGAGGATCCTCTGTGGGAGTCCCGGGAGGACTGCTGTAGGACCAGAGGCAGCCACAAGGTGGCAGGCTGTGCACGTTTTTCTTTGGAGGACAGTGGCCAACTCTCAGGGCTCCTGCTGAGTGTTCCTGGTGCAGACCTGGGGAAGGGAGGAGAAAAGGCTTTCCATCCGGCAGGTGCTTCTGTTATGGAGGGTCAAGGTCAGTTTGGAAGCTGTGGCAAGTTTGCAAGACCAAGTCATTTGGGCACAAATGGCTCATTAACTTAATAGTTTCCCAGTGGAGCTTTGCTCCATTCCAGAGAGTTCACAAATGCCAGACGGTGGAGGGCTGGGGGCGGGTGGGAGAGGAGGAGAGACAGCCTGGGGCAGGGCAGTGGTCACACGGTGGCAGCTGGGGGCATCCAGCACCCTCTGCAGAGGCCCAGCTGCCTGGCCTGTTGCCTCGACCAGCTCATGCGGGAGGACAGGGCAATGGGAAGGATTCGAGCTCCCGAGGGAATGGACTCCCCCAACCCCTAAGCTGCTCAAGTGTCCCTGGATGCCACAGCTCAGTTTCTGTAACCCTCAGGATTGTGCCACAGATGGCCTTTGCCCCCTCTCTTTGCTCAACCAGCCTTTGACACTAAATTCATTTCTCACATTGACATCCCTTCTGGAGTGAGAGCATACCAGCCATCAGAATGAATTCTTTCTTTCTTAATAAGGATTAATAAGCAATATTAACAATAATTAGGCTTCCTGGGTTGCCAATCAGAGTGTTTGGTGCGATCGGCCTGCAGGGCCCCAGCACCCCTGGGGAAGTGATGAATCAGATTCCCCTCAGAACCTGGCGAGCAGAGGACCAGCCCCCTGGCCTGCGGTGATCCCGTCAAGAGCGGCCTCTCCGGAGCTCAGGCAGGAGCGGCCGGCTCTAGCTGCTCTGAAATGACGCCGGAACATTTATCTGATCATAGAATGACAGTGTCGGAGGGACCCTGGCGCCCCTTACAGATAAGGCGAGGGGACCCCAAAGGGGCAGCTGGCTGGCCCAACGGCAGGCTGCTTGGAAGAGCTGTGACTGGGATTCACGTGGGACAGCTTTGTGAAGGTCCACACCGAGGGGACTCCTTGGAGGTGGCCGACGATGATCTGATGTACACTTTGGAACCCAGTGTTCTCACCGCAGGATTAAGGATCTCTTGGCGAGCACACCCAGGGATCACCTTCGACTGGAATACCTAAGGAATGTCCAGGAATGCCCAAGGCCAGAACAACATAATGTACACATGTCCCTAAGGGGCAGCTCTTGATACTAAATAAAATTGCTGCGAGGATTGAGAGTAGTGGCAAGACTCTGATGGGCCTGGGCTCAAATCTCACCACTGATTAGCTGGGTGACCCCAAGCAAATTCCTTGATCTCTCTGAGCCCATGGTTTTCATCTATAGAATGGGGACAATGAAAGTATGCACGTTGCACATTTGTTCAGCGCCTGGCCCATAAGGGCCCTCCATATATGATAGGGGCTGTTATCACCGTAAGAGAAGAAAGCCAACGCTGTCTCCTTGGAGGATTTAAGAAAAGCAATAGCTAATCCTCCACTGTGGGCTGTTCAGAGACAATGTCTGAGATGCTGTGATGACCTGGGACGGGGTCTCCTCCCTGCCTCACCCCAGTGGAATGAGCTCCTTACCACCAGATTTCTAAAGCAAACCAGGGTGGGGGACCTGCAGCCTTGGGGCCACACGTGGCCTTCTATATCCTTGAGTGTGGCCTTTTGACAAATTTTACAGAACAAACCCTTTTATTAAAAGGGGTGCAGCAAAGAAAGATGAAGCTTTTCTTGCCTTCCTTGGTGCTTGGAAAAGAACGGTCTTGAAATCGGAAGGCTGCAGGTTTTCCAGCCCTGCCGGGAGGCTCCCTTTCCAGTCTCTAGCACTTTTCTTCTTTCCTGCCTGGTGTGACCCTCCCTCCCCCAAATCTTGACACTCAAACTACTGTGGGGAGGGAATTTGGGGGCCCTGGCCGCTCACAATTGATGTGTCTTAACAAAGACTGTTCAGGACGCTCAGAGGTTGCAAATTCAAACTCACGTGCCTCCAGAGGTTGCCAGGTACCCAACTGAATGCAGAGTGGGCCGGGCGCAGGACACTAACGCTAACTGCCCGTATTGCCTCACAATAGTGCGGTTGCCTTGTTACACTGCTTTTTTAGTTTATTTTAATGAATAGACGTTTTTCTGGAAAATTTTAAGTTTACAGAAAAGTAAGCAGATAGCACAGAGTTCCCATACATTCCTTTCCCCCACCCTTACAGTTTTTCCTATTATGAACATCTTGCATTGGTGTGGTTAATTTGTTACAATTGATGAACCTATATAGGTACATTATTATGAACTGAAGTCCATAGTTTACACAGGGGTGCACTTTTTGTGCTGTGTCATTCTACGGATTTTGACAAATGCGTAATATCATATATCCACCATTACAGTGTCACACAGATTAGTTGCACTGCCCCAAGAATTCCCTGTCTTCCACCTATTCATCCACGCCTCCCCACAAGTCTATGGCGACCACTGATCATTTTACTGTGTTCATAGTGTTGCCTTTTCCAGAATGTCATATAGTTGTATAGCCTTTTCATATTGGCTTCTTTCACTAAACAATATGCATTGAAGGTTCCTGTATGACTTTTCATGGCTCGATAGCTCGTTTCCTTTTATTGCTGAATTATATCCCATTGTGTGGATGTACCTCAGTTTGTTTATCCATTCACCTTTTGGAGGACATCTTGGTGGCTTCCAGTTTTGGGCATTACAGATAAAACTGCTGTAAATAACCATATGCAGATTTTTGTGTGAACATACATTTTCAACTCCACTGGGTAAATCCCTAATAATGCAATTGCGAGATTGTATGGTAAGACTATATTTAGCTTTATAAGAGTACATCAAACTGTCTTCCAAAGTGGCCATACCGTTTTGCTTGTCTACCAGCAATGAACAAGAGTTCCTGTTGCTCCACATCCTTGTCAGCATTTGGTGTTGTCAGTTTTTGGATTTTAGCCATTCTAATAGGTAAGCAGTGGTATCTCATTGTTTTTTTAATTTCCAATTCCCTAGTGCCATGTGATGTTGAGCATCTTGTCATGCACTTATTTGCCATCTGTATATCTTCTTTGGTGAAGTGGCTGTTCAGATCTTTTGTCCATTTTAAAATTGGGTTGTTTTCATATTGTTGAATTTTTTAAAATTTCAGAATATTACAGGATACAAATGATTTGGTTACATGAATTGTTTTTGTGCAGTTTGAGTCAAAGTTATAAGTGTGCCCATCACCAAGATAGCATGCACTGTATACATCAGGTGTGAATTTACCCATCCCCTCCTCCCCCCTCCCACCTGCCTGGTTTCTGCTGAGTTTTACTATCATACGTGCATGTGAGTGTTGATCAACTAGTTCCAATTTAATAGTGAGTAATGTGGTGTTTGTGTTTCCATTCTTGTGATACTTTGCTTGGAGGAATGGTCTCCAGTTCCATCCAGGTTGTTACGAGTATAGTTCACCACTTTTTTTATGGCTGAGTAGTACTCCATGGTATACATATACCACATTTTATTAATCCACTCTTGTATTAATGGGCACTTGGGTTGATTCTAGCTTGTTGTGAATTGTGCTGCAATAAACATTCAACTGCTTGTCTTTTCTGTAAAATGACTTTTGTTTTTCCTTTGGGTAAATACTTGGTAGTGGGATTACTAGATTGTTATTGTTGAATTTTAAGTGTTCTTTTTATATTTTGGATACAAAACCTTTATCAGATAGATGTATGTTTTGCAAATATTTTCTTCCAGTATGTGGCTTGTCTTTTCATCTTTTAACAGTGTCTTTTGCAGAGGAGTGTTTTAAATTTTAATAAAATCCAACTTATTTTTTTCTTTCTTGAGCCTACACTGCTTTTTAAAACACCAAGCTAGCCAAACAAAACATACCATGCCAGTTGTTGACCCTGGGCTTAGGAGCTCACATAGGAGCTGTTTCCTAAAACTAGAATACAAGCTGAAGTATGGTACCGGGGGGACAGATTGGGAGATGTGGGAAAGTCCTAGGAAAATATCAGCCCGGTACAGAGGGCTCACTGGCTGGCGTTGTTTTAAAGATAAGATTTTTTTTTTTAGAGAATAGTTTTAGATTTACAGAAAAGCTGCAAATATAGTAGAGAGAATTCCCAAGCAACCCTTACTCAGTTTCCACTATTGTACACGTATATGTTAGCATGGTACATTTGTCACAGTTAGTGAACCAATGTTGATACATTATTATTAACTGAATTATTATTATATGTTATTGGAATTTTCTTAGTTTTTACCTAACATCTTTTTCTGTTCTAGGACCCCATTCAGGACATTGTATTGTATTTAGTCTGCGTGTCTCCTTACACTCCTCTTGGCTGTGACAGATTCTCAGACTTCCCTTGTTTTTGATGACCTTGGCAATCTGAGGAGTACTGGCCAGGTATTTTGTAGAATATTCCTCAATTGGGATTTTTCTGATGTTTTCTTCATGCTGTGATTGGCATTATGGGTTTTTGAAAGGAAGACCACAGAGGTAAAGTGCTATTCTCATCACATCATACTAAAGATACTGTCTGGCACTGTTTTTTAAAAAGCTCTCTTTTACATTTCCAACATGAGTGCTAAGTGCCCCGTCAAACCCAAAGGACTGCTCTTTGGTGGAGTAGACAGTAGTCCCAAGTATGCTGCCCTGGCGTTTGGCCTGACAGTCCTGCGTCTGAGGGATGGAGGACCGCAGGAGGCATGTGTCATTGGCTCTACCACCTGGGGTGTGGCTGGAAATAACATGGTCCGTGGGGAGGTAGAGTCCCTGCTGGATCATGCTGTCATTTAGGGAAACTGGCTCTGGGCCATCCTTGTGTGGTCCTATGGGAGGCTGCCCACCTCTCTCCTGAATCCTTGCTGGGACAAAGAGCTCCCCTGTATCTTGGCAGGCTGGCTACCCCCATCCTACCACCAACATCCCCCTCCTTCCCCAACACCCCTCCTTCTCCCATGCTGTGCACCCCTCCCATTCCCACCAACCCTTTCTTCCCACTTAGGGGACGGGACCAGGGCTTGATTGTTAAACCTCTTGCCTCTTGTTACCATGGCAGTAGGTCTACCAGCTGTCACAGTGAGAGGCTGAAGGGCTGTGTGCTCAAAGAAGCTTGAAAGCCACCGGCCTGAATGGCTAATTAAATAGTCAAAGTAATTCATTCTCCTGGCTCATACGGCCTATAAGGAGACATTTAGAGCCACAGGAAGGGGCTAAGGAGAGAGGTAGGGAGCCTTTTCTGGGTCCCCTAACACTGATGGCACGTTCTCTCCTTACCTTTTGTTAAACAGAAGCTGGGACTGGTCATGCTGGGATTCCGATGTCTGGGGAAATGGCTTCATGTGATCCAGTGAATTCACTGCTGGAGATTTTACCTATTGGGCCAAGGAGAGTTTCACAGTGTTAGCTTGAACCTAATGACATGGGAAGAAAAAGCCAGTTATAAAAGTTGGTCTATGCAATGTTTATGGCAAAAACAAATCTGACATGTAATGGCCATGGTGATGGGCAACAAAATATTGTCCTTGCTGGTAGGATTATGGGTAATGTCTGATTTATTCTTGGGGCTTTCAGTGCTTTCCAAGTTTTCCAAATTGAGCATGTATTACTTTTTGTAACTAGAAAAAAAATGTTTAAAATGTTATCTGACAACTCTCCAGAAATGCCTTCTGGTTTTGCTTCTCCTTGTCTCAAAGGCTGCCCGTTGGAGTCAGGAGAAATCCATGGACGCTTCACGTAGGCGCACGGCTCCGCCACGGTGCCCTGGAAACCCCGCGTGCCTCCACGCAGGCCTCCGGAGCAGGGCTTACATCGCGCCGATCTAAGGCTTGGCAGACTGCCCTGTAATCCCCCCCCCCCGAATGCGAGAGCACAGGACGCTGGGAGTCCTTGCTACAAGGCTGTTTCCCACTCGCCCCCCCACCCTCCCGGGAGGCCGTCCCAGCACAGTTTCTCACTGCCGTCTTTGTTCTGATGAGGTTTCAGGCTTCCTGCCTTGGCCTACTTGGGGAACAGCCACAGGCTTTGAAATTGCTTAGTGACAGCATGGAATTGGCTCCTCTGCCACAGGGTGTCCCACTGTCCCTGTTGCTGTCAACTGGTCCCTCTGGTTTCAATGACATCCTGTAGGACAGGGGACACATGGAGCTGACACTTTTGGCTACTGTGGCTTTCACTGTCTATATAAGTAATACACTGTCTGAATCTGTCAGCCTTGCCTAGACACTTCCTGAGTCACTCTGGATGTCCTCGTCTGCCGTTCAGTGGCCATGCTCCCTCGGGCACTGCTGTGGCTGAAGGCCTCGCTGCCCGATGCACCGGCGAGGTGGGACTCTTAACCCGGAGCCCACAGACAGAATCCAGGGGCTCTGTGAATGCGTATAGGAACCTATTACATCTTTATTTCTCCTCACTTCTACCTGAAATTTAGCATTTCTTTCAATAATAAATGTAGACAACAAACCACAGTAGTATTAGCAATACCTGTGACGTTGTCACCAATAGAAATCATGCACATTTTCTTATCACATTACAGTTCGTGCAGAAATGTTGAAATACTGTGTTCATCATTACTTTGAAATTATGGTAAATATTCGGCCCACCCTTAGGTCCTCTAAATTAATGCATTTTAAAAGTGGTATACATATTACTATACCATAACTTTGCTTTTGAAGTATTTTGATAACTATTTCAATCTAACTGGTTTTCGTTGTAATCTTGTGTATTTAATTGTATCCAAATGTTCTTCTCTATTGCCCTGTCACATGGCACTTGGTAACGCCGGTTATTGCTTGCCTGTGTCCTTGGGCAAATATCCTCTCGGATCTCAGTTTCCTCGTCCTTAAAATGAAGGGATCAGCCTGTTAGATAATGATCAAGGGTCCCGCTAGCCACACAAGTTATGTAATTATGAGCATTTTGTCACTTCCATTGTACCACAACTGAGGAGTTACATGAGGACAACTGAAACTGAGATTCTCTGCTAACACTTCTTAAGAGGCTATTTTAACCTTTGTAGTAATATAGAGACCTTCTAAGAATTTGTCTAGGAAATATACAAAAATTTATCTACAGATACATTTCGAGTAAAAACTAGAAACAACCCAAACATTCAACAATAGGAGATTGGTTAAATCAATTAAAATATATCCATACCATGAAACAGTAACAGCCTTGAGAACTGTAGCTGTAGAATAATAACACGAAAAAGTAGGCAGGCTATAGAATTAAGTTAAAAAAGCCATTTGTGATACTTGGACACCAATATAATTCTATTTTTTATAAAAATATACAGATGGATATGCATATAAATAAAGATAAAATCATATAATCCAACATGTTAATATTGGTTATATTTAAGTGGAGGGATTATGGTGATTTCTTTGTTTTTTTGCATAGTAAAATTTCTATAAATAATATATATAACATATAATATATATTATTTACATATTCTATATATAATATATAGAATAAAATATATGACTCTGTTATAAGAAAAACAACAAGTGGTGTCAATACGCTATCACGGGGGGATATCACACCAAGCATTGGTGGCACACCCATTGGTTTGGGGAGTCACATCTTCCAGCCCTCATCTTTCCATGCATCAGGTGGTTATTTTAGACACTAGAGCAAAGCAATAATTACTCCCTGATCTTTTGTAGTCCTTGTCACTACGAGGGGCACCTGCTTTATGAGCAGGGGCTGAGGATACATGGGCTTGCGGTTCAAAGCCCCCCTTCTCTGTCTCCTGACAACCCACGGGGGCACATGACTGGCCCCTCCCTGGCTGCCCCGATGCTCTCCAGACCGTACCTGCAGGTTGCTGGCCTCCTCTGCCCACCAGGCTTCGAACTCTTTCTGTAGCTTCACCTTGGCTTTGTCCATGAGCAGCTGCAAGTGCTCGATCTCCACCTTCAGGGCTTTCAGGCGTGCGAACATTGTTTTATAGCTGCGGAGGAATCAGAGAAGAGTCAGTGTGCTGCTGTCTGGAAAGCCCTGGCACAGAGGGGTGCAGGAAGTGGACAGGGCCAATGCCTCCAAAGCCTGCAGCTCTGTCCCGTTTCCCAGGGCCTGGGACCCTACAGGTGCCAGGATATGGCACCAGGGTTTGAGTCCATCATGGAGAAGCAGAGTGAGGCACTTTGTCCATCAGGCCCATGGGGATGTGTGTGTGAGATGAACAGCCCCTCCTCCAAGAGGGGGTTATTACTCAGGGGCAGGCATTGCTCTAGACATTCAACATATATAAACTCATTTAATCCCCTTCACAACCCTATGAAGAAGCTATTATTATCATCTCCATTTTACAGATTTGGAACCCGAGGCATGGGGAAGCACAGAGCTCGCAGGGAGCCAGGATTTGAACCCGGCAGTCTGGGTCTAGAACCAGTCTTCACTCTCACTGTCCTGCTGCTTCACCTTCACGCTGAGGATCAGAAGTCACAATACTGTTTGTTCCTTTGCATGTTCTCTGTTGGTTTGGGGAGCGGTGTAACGAGTCAGACATTGTCAAACAGGAAACAGTCCACCAGCCAAGCTGAAGAGACAACTTGGCTTCTGAGGTGTCGCTGAGATTGGAAACGTGGACCAGGGGGACAAGGTGAGGGTGGAGTAAGGGACACGAGAAGAATGGGCTGTAAAGAAACTGAGGAAAATAAATGGGGCAAGGGAGGAGGTGGACCACTGGGGAGGACCCGAGGGGCGCAGAGCAGCAGTGGTGTGTGTGGTGGGGCAGTCAGGGCATTCTGGAGAGAGATGACACAGTGCACGGCTGTCAAGAGAAACAGGAGACCTGGCCCGGGGCTTTGTTCTCCTGGGTGTGAGCGTGAGTGGGTGTGGGGTGCTGGTGGGGAGGAGTGTGTTGCAATGATACCATCAGCTCCTTGAGGCAGGGGAGGTGACTTGGTTAGCATCTCTAGAACCTACCCATGGCATGGAGGAGATAGCATACATTCGTTGAGTGCATAGATGAAACAATGAGCTAAGCAGCTGGACTGGGATGTCCAGCGAGATCCTGTGACCATGCTCTGTGTCAGTAATGGCCACCTGCCTGTTTATGCTTGAGGCTCTTCACTCTGCAAGTAAACTCATTTTGGGACCCTAAATGGCTGCATGAGGGTGTAATGTTCTCAGAACTCAGGAGGGAAGTGGGCTAAAGCTGCAGGCGTGAGGAAGACCACCGTGGTCACACTTCTTGACTCCCCTAGGTGGCAGCAGTAGACAAGCCCAGTTGCTTCCCTGGCCTGGGTGGGCCTGTTCTGCCTTCTAACCTCATCCTGCCAGAGTGCACCTGTAGTCCCAGCTACTCGGGAGTCCGAGGTGGGAGGATCGCTTGAGCCCAGGAATTGGAGGCTGCAGTGAACTATGATCAGGCCACAGCATTCCACCTGGGTGACAAAGGCCCCATCTCTAAAAATTAAAAAAATAAAATAAAAAATAAAAATAACCTCACATTGCCTAGGGTCCTGCTTTTGATACCTGCCTGCCAAAGGCAGTACCTCCTCCTACTTTTTTAGGATGCAGTTTCTGGGTCCACTAGTTTCAGCCCTGGGGCTTGGTTGCTCTGTCCTTGAGGCCCTGGGATGCTGGGGTCAGGCTATGTGTGGCTAAGAGCAAGGGCACCTTCTCTTTTCTTCTTCCAGTTGTGATCGCAGCTTCTCTTCCTGCAGGTCTGGCATCGACGGCATGGCCATATTCTCTGAGATCCCTGTAGAAGGAAGGTAAAAGGAAAAGTGTGACATTTAGGGCAGATGACAGGGTTCAAGTGCATCCCAAGATGAAAGGGGACCCTGTGAATTCCTTCTGGGGCCTCTGGATGGCAACCTTTGCTCGGCTGAAAGCCTGGAGAGGAGCGGCTTCCAGGATGACCCTCCCTCCATTCAACATCTGCCACGGGAAGGGAATTCTTCCCTTCATCTCTACTAATCCTTTTACTGCTGAGCTCACTCATTTCCTCTGGAGTCCCCAGGGAAGATGCAGAATAGCATTTCCCCATCTTCTGATAAAGAACTCTTCACAAACCAAAAAAAAAAAAAACCTCTCTAAACCATCTCACATCTTTCTCTGCATCAGTTGAGGTGCTGGATTTTCTAGCCTCAGAGTCATGTCCCCTGGTTTTCAGTTCCCTCTACAGCAGGGGTTCTCAAGCCTGGTCAACGCGGGTGACGTCAGTATGCAACCAGGGCTGAGAATGAGCCTTGGCGACAGGCCTGGGGCAGGGCTGAGCGTCTCAGCAGTGATCGGCTTGTGCCCACGGCCTGTGTCCTCACTCATGTGACCTCTGTCTGGACCCCATTTGGCTGCCATTGTGGCCTGGTTGCCCACTCTGCCTGGTGTGCTCTGAAGCTGGTCCCTTCCTAGCCTGGTGTGCGGGGTCTGTTTATCCTCCAAGAGTCTCTCTGTGGTCGCACTGCATTTCTTAGCCCCATGGAAGATATCTTAGAAGTCGCACAGCCCTGCTTTTTACTCCATGTAGGGGAGAATGAATCTACTATGGTCCAGGTGCTTCTGGACATGCTCAGACTTAATCCTTATAGCACTTATTTGAGATAAGTATTATTATTCCTGTTTTACAGATAAGGACATTGAGGTTCAAAGAGGTTAACCTGCTCAAGGTATGTGGTTGACTTTAGGAACCTGGATTTGTTTGTTTGCAAGGGCCTTGGATTCAAAAATTCCTTCTATAACATTCCTGACAGATGGTCATCTGCTTTCTGCTCAAGCACTTCCTGTGATGGGAGCTCGCCGCTTTGCAGGATAACGCATTTCATTGGGGACAGCTGTGTCTCCTCTTACTTTTAGCTGAGACCTTCACCACTAATGTCATCACTACTCTGGCTCTTTGGAGCAACATAGCATGCCCTTCTTCTTAGTCTGATTGCCCCCTGAATACCCGAACAGTAACAGCAACATCGACATGTGATGTGTGTCTGTACCTTTTTCCCAGGTTGACTCTGCACAATCCCTCATCTGAGGATAAATTACTTTCTAATTTATCTCAAGCATATACCCTAGATCTGGACACAATACTTCAGAGAGGTCTGAAAAGTCCAGGGTAGAGAAGGACTCCTCTTTGCTTTTGAAAATTTAATTTCTGTAGCAGGTGAATTATAAACAATGACCATTTATTGAGTGCCTTCTATATGCTAGGTTCTGCCAAGTTCTAGTAAGCACTGGGCTAGGTCCTCTACTTAACTTATTGCTAATTCTCGAACTAACCCTGCAGGGAAGGCATTACCATGTCATTTCAGTTAGATTCTTAGTCTCAGAGAGGGTCATGCATAACCCAAGGTCACACAGCTAGTAAGTGGCAGAGCTGGGATTTGAACCCACTTTTTTCTCTAGTCCCAAAGAGCTACATGTTTTCCTGGGCCAGCCTCCCTAGCACTGCTTCTGTTTTCAGCAGCTTTGTGGTGGTTGTCCCCTATTAAGCTTGTGGTCAGTTTAAACACTTTCATGTTTTTTCATGAGTGATTGTCAAAGTGCGTCCTCCTTCAGTGCAATTGTCCTTTTGATCCCAGAGGCCACACTTCACATTTATCGGTGGTCTAGCCTGCTGAGAGGTCCTTATTCTGTCATGCATTATTCTTCCCCCTTTGGCTCCCTTGTTAATTTGTTACCTGTGTCTTTTATGTCATTAACATATTGATAAATATGCTAACTAGATCAAGATTTTGTTCTTTGTCTTCTAGGTACCAGCACCCCCTCTTCCTTGTGTCAAGTGACAAGTATAAACTGACTGAGCAAGTATTTTATTCTGTCACTTAAACACAGGAAGTGCAGACACCACAGACTTCCCAACTGAAGACTGCACTGTCATCTGCGTGGGTGCATCGCACGGCCTTAATGAGGCAGACTGCCTGTCGCTACCCCAATCCCCCAAGGCACAGGCACAGGAAGCCCCGGAGGGCAGGAACCAGATCCTTCTGCTCTGTGTATGTTCCCCCGGTGCTTGGCTCGGCTGCCATGCACCGGGCACGCTCAGTGCCATGCATGTTTGCTGGCTCTGTCTTCTTTGAAAGATGCCAGGCATGCTAAACTGAGGGAAGTATCTTAATACAAACTGATAACAGCAGGACTTCAAATGGATGGACTATTTCTTTCCCTATAAGTTTCAGAAATGGGCCCATGTGTCTTACAGCCTGCTGAAAAAGAAACACTGTGAATCTCCTTCTTCCTTTGAATACTTTTGAGCCCACCCCAAGGGGCAGCCCTGAGCAATCGAGTGAAGCCCTGTCTGCTCTGCGGTGACCGGCACCGTGCAGGAGGCTGCTGGGGGTGGGTGAAGGAAGGGCGGCTGGACGTGCACAGGGAGCGTGACTTTGGCTGGCAGAGGCAGCCTCAAGGGCTTCGTGAGCGGGTGGGCAGAAGGTTGGAGGGAAGGCCAAGGGGGACTGGTCTTCGTTGTAAACGCTGTGGCTGCCCCATCATGAACGTGGAGCCTTTCTGTAGGAGGGAGGCTGGTGCCTCTCCCCCTGGCTGGTTGTCTTTTCCCTGGTGTCTGGGAGCTTTCCTGGTCGATCACAGAGTTAGAGGCGCCCTGGAAGTGTGTGGAGTGTTCGGTGTGTCAAGGAGCCTTGAGGCGAGGTGAACACTGAGTGCAGCTGACACGGCGGGGGAAGATGATGTCAGCTACCGTCGGTGGAGGCCCTTGGCCCAGGCACTGTGTCCCACCTCATTCATCCTCACCACTGCAGCTGGCGGGTATTATCACCTCTGCTTTACAGTCAAGTAGACCAAGGCTTAGGGTGAGCAGGTGGCTTGTGCAATGACGCAAAGCTAGCAAATAGCAGGGCCAGGCTTTGAATCCAGGTCCAGTCATTCGCTCGTTTATTTCACAAATGTTTATTGAGTGTCAACTCTGTACCTGCCCCTCTTTTAGGAGGACTCTAGTGGGGAAGATGGACACTAAACCAACAAAAGAACTGAGTCTGCAAGGTAACACCAGGGACTGAAAGGGGCTATGAGGAAAGGTGGAGAGAATGACAGGAGAGAGGGCGGGGCCGTCTGAGGAGGGGACATTTGAGCAGCGACTGAACGGAGGGAGGGAACCAGCACGCACAGATCAGGGTGCGGAGTGCAGTACAACAGCAGGAGCGAAGGGCCTGAGATGCCTGCCTGCCTGGTGTGTTTGGGAACAGGGAGGAGGTCGGGGTGCTGAGCAGCTGGTAAAGGAAAGAGGGGTGGGAAACTGAGGCCAGACCACACAGGACCTTGTGGGCCATGGTAAGGACTCTGGCTTTGAGGGAGGTGAGAGGCTGGAGGATTTTGAGTAGAGGATTGGCTTGATTTATTCCTTTGATAGCTGAGTCAAGCTGCTTTGTGCTGATTGAGACAAAGCTACTCAAACTGAAGACTAGTTAATGTAGGGTGGCGCCAGGATGCTGTGAGCCTCTTGAAAGGGATTGGGAAAGAAAGCTGGGGCCAGGGACCTTGGGCGGCCAGAATGAGGGCACAGCATACCCCCAAGACACAAGATACCCATGTTGTCATGGCAATCAAATGGGCCGTTGCCCAAGGTGATGTCTGCTTGGTGAAATACATTGCAAGCCCACCAGGAGCCAGCCTCCCGCTGCTCTGATGTGTTCTGAGGCTTGTCTCCACACTGCCTTCTGGAGAGAGACGGGGACTGGGAACTCAAAGGGAGCCAAACAAAAGCGACTGGATGAGAACAGAGGGAAAGGGAGTAACCAAAGGGCATTTGAGTTTGTAGGTCCTGGTCCTCACTGGCACTCTGGCCAGGGACAGAACCTCTAGTCACCTGACAGGCGGCACAGGGAGCCCTCTTTTCAAGGACAGCATTCTGGCTTGGACAGCAGCACAGAAGGTCACAGCCCTGGGTAGCCAGTGAGGTCACACTGTTAAACCGTGGGGGCAGCTGGCTCCAAAGCAGTAGAAAAGGATGAGAAAAGGGTTTCATTCTGTGGCTGTAGAGCTGAGTGTCACATAAGGAGGAAGCTTGGAGCAGCCCAATGTTGTAGTACCTGGAACTTCCAGTAGGGGAGGATGCATAGTTCTAGGCTGACCCTATCGCTGAAGTGTCCGGTGGTTGGGAATTAGCAGCTCAAGGACAAGAGGGGCTCTTGCTGAGAGGGACAGCCAAGATACGGACCCCCTCCTACCTGACACGATTTCATGATTTCATCTGGAAAGGTCTCTCTAACTCCCCTTCTCACTTCCGCATACCCTCTTCTCAAACACTCTTTCTCTCTCTCCCCCCATGTAGATATCTGATGTCTGAAACGTGCAGACTCATTTCTTTGGTTCAATGGTTCTCAGCTAGGGGTGTACATCAGAATCACCTAAGGAGCTTGTAAAAGCTCAGAGACAGCTGGGCCCTGCTGGAGTAGGTTTGGAGTTAAAATTTTCCAGCAGTGTCCCCTGGTGATTCTGATGCACACCCCTTGTTAAGAAACATTGCTTATGGCTTTGAGCCCAGTTTCATTGCAAGCACTCCATGCAGGAGTTTCGGAGAAGACAGGACCTGCATGAGATTAGATAGGATGACAAGTGGGAGCCAGTACAGCCCCCATGGCCCTGCTCAGCTTCCAGACCTTTGGGAGCCACTGAGGAAAGAGGGGAAAGGGCTCAGGGATTTTCAACAAGGGAGACACACTTTCTGCAAGGTTGGAGCCATCTGCGCTTGGCCCTGTGGGTGCTCGATAAAATCTGAGTAATGATTTCGACTACAGAGCTGCTACATTGGCC